CTGGTGGAGAGCCATTAATTCTTTAGAATGAGAAAATATTTCAATGTGGAGGGCTCAGTTGTGTGAGCTCACATGAGATAATAAGAAACAAAGCTATAGGGCTGTGATACCTGAGTAAACGATTCCTTTTTTGTCTTGGAAGTCTAAAAAAATACCTTTCATCACATTCTAAGGCAGAGATCTTAGGTTTTTCAGATGTACACAGTGCTGTCGTATTAATCAATACTGTTATAAGGCCAATTACATGTAGTTTGTTATAGAGTTTTGAAAATAACAGCAAATGCATTTCTTGCAGTTTCCACTAGCTAGTTTTTGGATTAACGTTTTACTGAATCCTCTCTAAATTAAAATTAGATTTTGAAGATTTATAAGTGTTTTCAGAGTATACAGTATTATGATATGAATTTGATTGTGTTATAGTTTAGGAAGTCTAGTTATTAAGGTCAACACATTATAGTTAACAGTAGCCATAAAATCTCTATTTGCCTTTTGATATGATATGAAAGCACTAATACAGATAAAACCTAATTTCATCTAAAAATATGAAACTCAGGTCCTCTCACATAATTTTTCAAATATATATATCAATTTTCTTCCAATGACAATGCAGAACCTAGGCAACTCTTAATATTCTTGGTGTTATATTTTATTAAACCAACATTTTTAAAAACCCCACCAGCAATAAATTAACTCATATGACCAGGATCTAGCTGCAAACTAAAATGTTTCTGTTTTAAGTCTTGTGTTTCTCTTACATTGCATTTATCAGTAGGAAGCCAATGTGCTTAGTTTACTTTCATATTCAGGCAATTTCCTATCTCTGGTATTACGGAACATGGGTGATTCTTCTGTCTAAAGAGCCAGATTTGTTTCTATTCACAAATGCTGGTAAAAGTGCTCCTTATTTAGGTATGTAATGTAGCTGCACGCATAATCCCAAAAGTCAGATTCAAAGAGAATCTGTCACCCATGGCAATCTGTTGACCAAAGCTTTAAAGAATTAAATTTTTAGGATAGCATACAAAATTGTGGTCACCCAAGTAAGCTATTGTACTTCTTAATATGACCTGGAGGTTAAATATTGCATAGCTCAGTGTGAAAGCAGTAAAGAGTGAGATATCTGGAAAAGAGCAGAAAGAGCAACCCATTCACAATAATTTTATGACTCCTTCTTCTACCTCAGAATAACATGATAATCTGCCACACATAAATCTTACCAATAATCCTGGGAAATGGTTTACAGGCATGACATAATGTTCAATGATGCTAATATACCTATGTAATAATACTATATTACACGGGTATACCTGAGTCTTAGATTCATGGCGGGGTTCTTTTTCTAGCGTGATTGCTAGATAGAAATCTGAAGCATCAATTTCTGCTTTTAAACTAACTAGAGTTCTCTAGTATATCTGAACTATCTAGTTAATTTAAATTAAGAGTGGATGATCTCCAGATGTCAGGGTTCACCCCAGACCTTGTTGGACTGAACCTGGTCCCCTGACTCTCATACCCATTTTGTTTTATTTTTAAACTAGAAAACTTTTATAATCCATATTTTAAATTTATTTTAGGAGATGTGGTTGAGATAGTCTGTAGCTCCTCAAAACATGCCAAAGTGCCTTCATACTCCTTTTTGCAGTATGGGTGGTTCAAGAGAATCTTGGGTGCTGGGAAGATGCATTTGGGCCCCTGGAGGGCCATATATGAGAGTTATGGGCTGCATGTTGCCTCCCCCAATTTCAATGATAGTTAGTGAACATAGAAGATAAGGATGGTTTCTTCCTGGTTGGTTTGAACTAACTACAGTTTCAATTATCCAATGATCCCCAGAGACTAGATGTAACAGAGCACTCTGATTAGACTAAAAGCCAGAACCAACGGTACCAACTTTCTCCTCATAACTATCGTAAAGCAGGAAAGGGGAAGTGTGAGACCCTGAACAATGTCAGATCATCATTTAGCCTAAACCAGTCATATGTATGTGTGGCCTAAGATCCCCAGAGTTTGTTTTGTGGCCACCTAAATACAACTCCAAATGAGCAATTTATCCAGTCTGGTTCACTGACATTAAATTTTCAATGTAGGAAAGAACAGAACATGGTACTGATGTGCCTACATTGCGATGAAGTGCAACTTGCAGCTTTGTACTGGGTATACAAAGACATCCAACAATGTTTTACAGCTCTGCTGCACCTACAAACTGTGTTGATCCTGCACTGATAATCAGGCCACAATAGTCATGGGAGCATGCTGTTGTTCTCATATCATGTGGTGCTCTATTATATGAGATCATCACAACGCCTATATTGCAAGAATGTCTGGCCAAGACATAGGATTTTTATAATTAATATGATCTGTCCAACGGTTTGCACTATACTTCATATGGTAGTTTTGCTTGCTTACCAAACATAACTGAATCAGTGTGAGGTCAAGCCCGTGGAAGTATTACTTGGCATCACTCTAGCTTTTACTGAACTACTGGTGCCTCATTTCAAACACAATCTGTGCTTTAACAGAACATGGGTAAGATTTGTATACAAAGGTCTCTGTATAAGTCTTCACAAATTTTTAATAAGATTGTGAGCTGCAATGTGTTCCTTCTTCTTTTCCTTCATTATTATACTCCTTCGTTCTAACACATGATATAATGGTACACTATTTATTTATTTATTTATTTATTTATTGGACTTATATACTGCCCCATAGCGCTACAAGCACTCTCCGGGCGGTTTACAATTTTTTTAATTATACAGGCTACACATTGCCCCCCCAGCAAGCTGGGTACTCATTTTACCGACCTCGATAGGATGGAAGGCTGAGTCAACCTTGAGCCGGCTACCTGGGATTTGAACCCCAGGTCGTGAGCACAGTTTTAGCTTGCAGTACAGCGTTTTAACCACTGCGCCACGAGGCTCCTACATGGCTTATCTGTGGTACGTTTTCATATCCACTGACATTAGTGTTCCACTACACCTATAATGCATACTTGTACTGACATTATAGTTAAACAGTCACATTTTCTATGATGGTACATATAAAATACCTCTCCCATTAACCTTTCCATGTTAGGAAATCACAACTAACCACAAAAGATTAAAACAGTTGAAAATATTTCACTTCTATCTATGCTATTTATAGAGGAATATTGAGGTATTCCTCTGTAATACAGGAACTGATTCTTCTAAGGTGCTTCAGTTCCACCAGCCTTATTCTTATTCTTATTCTTATTCTTATTCTTATTCTTATTCTTATTCTTATTCTTGTTGTTGTTGTTGTTGTTGTTGTTGTTGTTGTTGTTGTTGTTGTTAAACTAACACGCCACATTAGATCATCTAGAGACTCCAAGGTGGCAGAGATGGCTGAGATCCCTGCCATATTATCCTTACCAGAATGCTGTGAGGTAGTAAAATTGACTGCATATGACTGGTCAATGAGTAATCCATTGGGTTCCATGTCCAAATGGAAAAATTCCACTCCAAAACTCTACTCGCTATACCAGCCTGGTCTTCCAAGAATTTTTAATGTTTGTTCTTTAATCAGTTTGTTTCCAATATTCATATTCTGCTTCTTTAGAATGAATTGCTCCCAGAATAATTTACAACCAAGTCATATAATATAAGCAATTATGGGAATGAAGTCTGATCCTCAAAAAGCATGTAAGAACAGTACATTTCACTTATACCATGCTCACTTATGATAAACACCTGCTTGTGTTAGACTAAATAATAAAAATGAGGAAAAATTGTAATGATAGGAGCTTGGACTGGACAAAATAATTAAAAAAACTTTTTTCCACTATAATGAAAAAAATTAAATTGATTGCTGCATGAACTTAAACTTAAAGACTCCATACTGAGTGCAACACAAATTTAAAAAATGCAGAATAACAAGCATCACACCTCATAGAAACGAAGCTGTTAATTCATAATAATCTGTTGTTCACAGCCTTGTATAAATTTATATAAAGCCTGAAAAGGCACAAGGTAAGTAGGCAAATAGTTGGACATTCTAATGAAGAGTTTTTAATATAGCTTTGTAAGGTAATGAATTTTCAATTAATCTGTTCAGTTAATACCATATTTAAATTATGTAATTTTTCTATCATGTTCCGTGCTATCTTGCAAAATCTGAAAAATGGAAAAAAGAAATGAGGGACTGTAACTATATGTCAGTTTAGGATAATTATTTTGCATATTATTAATCCTGATTTAAAGTTAATTTCCTCCCATCCATTCATTGGACTTTTCAAAGTATATGTGTAATTTTATTTCCTCTCATTTATATCATATGAGTTACCATAAGCAGAATATTTGAACCCTAAAAATCTGGAATACATACAGAATGTATGATGAAAATAACTTTGACTAAACAAGTTAGTCATGTATGATTAACAATAGAGCATCACAAACCCTTGCATGCAATATATGATTTTTGTCCTTTAATTCTCCTCTAAATTATGCCGGGATTTATTTTAACATTGGTAATTTTCTATCAAAGAACTTTAGGTGCCTTTTTCCTTATATATATTTTTTAAACTACTATGATGTATTCCAGTTTAACAAAAATGAAAAAAATGTTCTAATTGTTTCACTTCCTAGGGCATCCCCTTTCAAAACTACCAACCCTTTTAACAGATAACACATGTGTGCTTGCTGTTGATGTTAAATTCCATCCCCCATTTCAACTTTTAAGAAATAAAGGGCAGATATTTGGAATTAAGATATAACTTTGGTGGGCTTTCAGAGATACTGGAAATTAACATTTTCACCTGAATATTTGTGTGTGTGTGTGTGAGAGAGAGAGAGAGAGAAAGAGAGAGAAAGAGAGAGAGAGAGAATCTATCACCAGCAGATTCAGATTATTTGTCTTAAAGTTTTTGTCACTGTTAACCCAAAGCAAAGTAATTTAAGGAAATTGATCTATCCACTGGTATGATTTTCATAATTTTAGCAGATCCAAGCAAAAAGATAAACATAAAATGAAAATCCTGTGCATACCTTCAAAGTAACCAGTTTTTGCAGTCTGTGCCTTCTTTGGTGGTTTCACAGGGGGATGTTTATTTTCATTGTTTTTGAACAACGCCAGGCGCACAGCTGGGTCTAGACGACAAGAACAAGTTAAAATCAAAAGGTCATACCTTGCTTATTCATTCCTGAAAAGAAATATTCGCCTTTTAGCCATTTATTAAAAGAAACAGAATATCTTCTGTAGGTTTTACATTAGGATGGAAAAATATACTGTTTCTAACATTAAAGAGTTAAAAGGATTTTTTTTCAAACAAAGCACTTAAGTCAAACATATTTTAAACATTTATTCTCTAGGCCAATTATTCTAAGGACCAGCTACCAGTATAAAACAAAAAATCATAATTAAAATGTATATATAATTAAAAGATACATATAAAGATATATTCCTGAAGGTGGTGGGTTACACTGTATATTTAAGTTATGGATATGATCATATTTGTCATATATATTTTTGTTATCCAATTCTGTTCGATGTATACTTGTATGTGTGTTTTGTTTACATATATATATAATGTATATATTGGAATGAAAATTTGAGTTCTCCAGTAGAAACAACTTTCTTGGTGAGAAAAGCAGAATACAGACTATAAACTCTGCAACTATATGAAAAAGTGGAGAATGCTGATGGACAAAGATGAACCTCAAAATTGAAAAGTACCCTGTTTTCTTGTTGTAAAACTAAATGCGGAATTAGAAGGCACTCAACCCCTTTTAAAATAATGTATCCTGCACAAAGGAGATAACTCCTAGCGGAAAAAAGGATGACTGAGCAAACAGGTATTTATGCTTCACCATCCCTCTACATTTCCTTCTCACAAATAATGATCCAATGTAACCTACTACAACTTAGAAAATGAACAACACCAGCACTTGGTTATATCCTGAGAGGTGCTGAACAGATGGTCAGTTACCTCCTCGTGAGCTTCTGAGAGGAAAGAACATGATTTCACTTCCTGTCTGTCCTCTCAATAATTGATTGGTGATATCAAATGTTTGTTGTTGTTTTGTCGTTAAGTTGTGTCCGACTCTTCATGACCCCATGGACAAGAGCACGCCAGGCCATCCTGTCCTCCACTGCCACCCAGAGTTGGGTCAAATTCATGTTGGTAGCTTCGATGACATTGTCCAGCCATCTTATCCTTTGTCTTCCTCTTCTCCTCTTGCCTTCTTACTTTCCCAACATCAGGGTCTTTTCCAGGGAGTCTTCTCTTTTCATGAGATGGCCAAAGTATTGGAGCCTCAGCTTCAGGACTTGTCCTTCCAGTGAGCACTCAGGGTTGATTTCTTTCAAAATGGATAGGTTTGTTCTCTTTGCAGTCCAGGGGACTCTCAAGAGTTTCGTCCTGCACCACAATTCAAAAGCATCCATTCTTCGGCAGTCAGCCTTCTTTATGGTCCAGCTCTCACTTCCATACATCGCTACTGAACAGACTTACAGTATCAGATATCAAACATAACAACATTAAAAGTATGTTCAAATATGGGATATCTTCATTTGCTCCACTATATATCTGGCTCTCTGACAGAGGTAGCAAAAATTACTTTTTTTGGACTGAAAATCTTGGAACTGTTCTTCCAAAACAACTGCTTTTCCAGTCTCAGGTCATTGCTCCGCACATGGGCCTCTGGTGTGCCATTACTTAGGTTTATTAAGGGCCCTTCCCCGCCATTTACAGATCCAAAATCTTTGGCATCAAATGTCTTCCCATGACACTAGAGCAGATTTCCCCCCCAGTACATCAACCACCCTGCAAGAATTTTAGTTTTACTGAAATCAACAGACATTTCTAGTACATATTTATGAGTCTACTTTAGGGGTGGGCAATTACTTTCTATAGAGAGCCACATGAAAAATCTGAACTGTGTTCGGGGGTGGGTAGTAATAGGCCCCCAATTTGTGGGTAGTAATAGGCCCCCATTGGGTGAGGCCCTGCGGTGAACGAACTACAAGGCTGACATAGTTAACTCCCTAAACTTTTTAGGGAGTTTACTATGTGAGCATTGTAATTCGTTCACCACGGGGGGGGGACCAACACTAAGCTAACTCACCTGTCCTCTGTTTCCCTGCGGCCTTCCGCTCCAACTGTCTTCTATCCCATGCAGGCGACGTGATGTGTCATCACGTCGCCTATGCCAGGATCGCTTCTGGCCTCTTGAGCTGCAGGCTCCACAGCCTGTTTTGCTTATTGCCGTGATGGGTGACCGGAGCTAGAACTCTGGTTCACTCAGTGGCGATGGGCGGGCCGGGCAGGAGCGGTGATGGGCGGGCCAGACAGGAGCGGCGACAGGCAGGCCAGACTGGAGCAATGACCGGCGGGCTGGACAGGAGTGGCTCTAAGGCTGTATGTGGCCCGCGAGCCGCACTTTGCCCAGGTCTGGTCTACTTCTATGGTTCAACTAGCATCAGATTTTGATTCCACCCTCTGGTTAGCGTGATAAGCAAAAATGTTCTCAGGTACCACTCCTAATCAGTAACTAAAATCTCCAGTCAGCTCCTGCTCCTTTTCAACAGGAAATGGAGTTGGGAGAGGAAGACTCCATCAACCGTTGCTTGGTGTTGCAAAAGGGGAGGGATCTCTGTTACCTTTATCCAAGCAGCAGTTGAAATGAAATACATCTCACCTACTTTTGTTGCTGAAAGGGTTTACAGAATTGAGAGTTGCCTTTGCTGTTGAGAGGAGGCACTTGCTGCTAACCAGCAAGTTGAAAGGGACCTGACAACCACAATTTTTAATTTGGCAAGCAAGGACAGCCAAATATTGTGGATTCCTGGTGAAGTAAAACCGGTCCTAAGCTCTTAACATACAAACCTATAGAGAGTTAAAGGGATGGTGGAGACAAGAGGGCAAAAGTAAGCCATGCCCTCCCAAGTTTCCCATCTATGCAGATGCTCAGACAGAGCACAAATATCTACAATATACTTACAGGGCTCCCATGACTAGGAACGCTATAATACCAGATAGGGTTCCTATGAGTTCTGTTGTCATATTCAGCTGAAACAGAAAACCACTTATAGAACTCTCCACGGAACTTCATGTTCAGTTCATGAAGGTCTCTATTACTTCAAGCTGCATAGGGATGTTGGGTGGATGAGACGCATTTACTCATCAGTGCAACATCTATTTAGCTCTCCAAGAGTTGAGGCAAATACTTGTGTAACACTACAGTGGCCCATGAATCCTTAATTACCAGCATTTTGTTATCACAGTAATACAGCATCTACCACATTCACAAAAGTGGCATTTATATTAATTACATACAATATAAATTAATGGCAGCTCTTCAAAGTCAAAAGAGGGCAAAAAAGAGATGAGAAAGTTGGAACAGATTATAACATTTAGGGTATTCAGAAAAAAGTTGTATGTAGGGATAAATGAGTGAGACTTACAAAATTAACATGTGGTGAACAACACACAGAGAAACAAATTTTTCTTTCTCTCTCATATCACACCAATAGGATAGAGTATTAAGGATAGACCACAAATATATTAAGGATATACCAGTACGACAGAATATGAAGGACAGACCTCCACTTATATTTAAGCAATATACTGTAATTTGCTACCACAAGATAGGATGATGGCCAGTGATTTAGACACATGTCTTTAAAAGGGACTTAGTCACATTTATGCCAACCAATGAACACTGAAATGAGGATAATTTTTTACAAAAACATGTGCACTCTGCTGCCATTTAATTGTGTGGCCTTTCCTTATCTCCTAGGTGTCAGGCTGAAAAGGAGGTCTGATTACAGAACTCCTCCTGGATGTCAACAAATCCTTCAGTACTGTGGCTCTACCACTCATTATACTGTTGAAAATAGGATGAGGTGGAAGAGAGGAATGGGGGAGGGGGCCAATATGTGCAAAATCCTGTGGTCTCCTGTTGCCCCAATGTGTTCCCAAACAGAGTCTGAATATGCTAGCCTGAAAGGTAGCATGCAAATATTTTTCTGTTAGAGACAGTAAGGGGATAGACCAAAACAGCTACCCAACAGAGCAGGGCTTAGGATGTAGTGTTTCTCTTGTCGACTTTCTCCGACTTTAGGGTTGCCTGAATCCCTGAGGTTTAGAGTTTAAAAATCAAATCTACAAAAATCAAAATAAATTGAGAAGCACATGTCCTATCTGCCAAATCAAGGTTAATAATGTGTTTGTAATCATATATGTTTAAAAGAAAATAGGTGTTTATAGACTGCTACTAAATTAGAATTGGGATTTAAAAAAAAATACTTTGGAATAGTTTGACATTTTTCCAGTTCCCCTTGGCTGCAAAATGATCTGGTATCATGACCATACTTTTTGTATTATCTCATATTAGAGAAAAGTAGTTGGTGCGGATACAGAAGATGAATAAATCACAGCACACATTTGGTATGGTTAAACTGTGGCCACAATGTATTTAACTGCTTGAACAAACATTCATAACTGTAATGGATTAAAGCAGAACAACCCTGTGAGATATCACCTGACAGCACTGGGCCAACAATCATTCAAATATGGTTCGTCTACAGCATACGTGGAAAGCTAACCCCAAGCCCTTCCTTTTGGTAAAAGTTACAAAACTTGGGTAGTCACCAGAATCTAATTGTCTTCATCCAGAGTTTTAGATACTGACAAAGATAGGCTCAATAGGTACATGTATATAAATGAGGTACATGTATATATAAATGCCGCAGAAGCCTCTGCTGCTAGATTTTGAGTTTCATATATGCCCCAAGTAGTTATTCAAATTAATAACTAAGCAATTTCTCCTCAAGTGAAGAAATGCTCTCAGAAGAAGAAGAAGAAGAAGAAGAAGAAGAAGAAGAAGAAGAAGAAGAAGAAGAAGAAGAGATCTAACACAGAGATGGGAAAGATCTGTGAATGAAATTCAAAACCTGAAATGGCTAAAAAGAAGGAAAAAAATCAATCTGTAACTTCCCAAATGAGTATTTCCAGCTGAAGGGGTTTCTGTTTTTGGGTGATGGATTCTGGAAGAGCTTCCCCCCCCCACACAAGCAAAACCACTGCTTCCCTTTTTTGGACAAAATAGGCTCCCAATTTATGGTTGTTGCTTTGAACATGTGCTCTGGGATGCCCATAGAGGCTACAAAAATGCTAGTAATGGGGGCTGACTTCCACTGGAATTAATGTGACATGATTTAGTCAAAGTTTTAGCCTGTCAAAATAAAAAAATCTCAGAAATCCTCTATGTCAATGCAGTCTTCTTCCTCTCCTCCCAATTCATCTTTCATCCAGGTTTAATGCCTTAGATTTATTGCTTGTGAAACTCTGACTCATACATGAAAAGCTGTGCTGGACAAAAGTCTCTCTAGTCAATCATCCTGATTCCTACTTGGCCAATGAAATAGAGAACCCACCAGCAGGATAGCAGAGCAATAGACAGCTTGTGCTCCTTTTCTTTGTCTGCCCAATTGTGCTGCTCAGAGTTGTGCAGGCAGGGGGAGAAAGAATGCCCCATATGACATATAGCTATTTTCAGGAGATCACCAGTGATTCTGGTTGCATGTGATTCCAAGTATAATCAAAACAATGAGAAATGGGAAAGTCAATATGCTATTTAGTGCAGAGCTATAATTCACATGGGGATGTGGTGGCGCTGCGGGTTAAACCGCAGAAGCCTCTGCTGCAGGTTCAGAAGACCAGCAGTCATAAGATCGAATCCACGCGATGGAGTGAGCGCCCGTCGCTTGTCCCAGCTCCCGCCAACCTAGCGGTTCGAAAGCATGCAAATGCAAGTAGATCAATAGGGACCACCTTGGTGGGAAGGTAACAGCGTTCCGTGTCTAAGTCGCACTGGCCCTGTGACCACAGAAGATTGTCTTCGGATAAAATGCTGGCTCTATGGCTTGGAAACGGGGATGAGCACCGCCTCCTAGAGTCGAACACGACTGGACAAAAAATTGTCAAGGGGAACCTTTACCATTACCTTATAATTCACATATGCAAAACTCCATAAACACCTCACAGTAAAAAACCCAAAAACAAAGAATAGTAGGAGTTACAAAAAACAAACAAACAAAAAACAGTGGCAGCAGCAACAACTAGAATCTTTCAAGTAATATACTTAGGAAAACAAAAAGGTTTCAACAGTGGATGAAACAACAGTGTTGTGTTGTTATGTACTGGTCAAGTTGCTTCCAACTTATGATGACCCTATGAATTATCTATCTTCAAAAAGTTCTGTCCAGCTCAGTTTTTGCAAACTCAAGCCCACGGCTTGCTTTAGGGAGTCAATCCAACTCGTATTTAGTTTCTGCTTTTTCTGCTGCCTTAAATCTTTCCCAGAACCATTGTCTTTTTCAGCAAATCCTGCCTTCTCATGATGTGCCCAAAGTATGAAAGCCTCAGTTTCATCATGTTTGCCTCAGGGATAGTTCAGCGGTGTGTTAGCACCAACAATTTTAGCTAGCAGTGGTATTCCACAGTTGGGATGCAACAACAGTGAAGACACTCTTCCTTCTTGACACATAAAGCACCTAAACAACACAGAGACATGCCTCTTCAGGGTTCTCAAGTCACAGGCAGGCTGATATATTAGAATTCCAACAAATTAAGGGGTTCCAGACCATTAGGACTTTAAAGGTAAGCAAGCACCAGTGCTTAGAGTTGGGCTGGGAAGTGTATAGAATTAGTGTAGCTTTTTCACAATTTAACCTTTTATTTAGATAAACCTCAAGATCTATTTGTTACAGGCCAGGTCTGTTTGTTATATAGGAACATAACAGTCATGCTGGATCAAACAAAAGTCCAATATTTTGTTATGTATATATATATGTATATATGTATGTATGTATGTATGTATGTGTGTGTGTGTGTGTGTGTGTGTGTGTGTGTGTGTATGTATATATATATGTATATATGTATATATATGTATATATGTATATATATGTATATAT